CGCGGCGGCAAGTCCTGTGAGACCGGATCGGTCTGGGTCCCAGTGGACCTTGTTCTCACGCTCTCGATCTGAGCCGTTTGGGACGCGGATTCCCGGCTCACAGATGAGCTGGGCATGCTCGCGAGGGACGGCCTCTCAGAGCTCGAGGAAGGAGTGAACTCCTTGTCCAATGCCTGTCGCACGGCATTCTGAAGCCTTTCTTTCTTGCGGAGGGCTTTCACGGAGGGAGAAGGACGAGGCCTGCAGGAGGTACTTACCACCTTCAACCCTTCCCAAAGCCCAACTATGGCTATCACAACCACAACCAGTGCAAGATATAGCGAAGCATCGCTCGAGATCCCTGGGATTTCTTCGTCAACAGGATCCTGACCTGAGCCTGGGAGTACCTGGGCGAAGGCAATAAAGGTCGTGAGCCACTTGCTCAGCGCTTCGGCGCAGGAGGTCTCAGAGACCTTCAAGCTTTGCACCTTAACCGCCTCCTTGTTGAACCTGAGCCCGACAAGCTCTGACAGCTCCTGTTGTTTAGGGCCTGCTAGGGCTTTCGTGAGTAAATCCGCACATTGGATGTCCCCCGGACAGTGAGAGAGAGACATCTGGGTCTCCAGCTGCTGCCTAAGTGCCGCGGCGCGNNCCTGCAGGTGACGGGTTCGCTGGCTACTTGAGCCATGCGCAAGAGAGATTGCCGAAGTGGAGTCACACCTGAGTGTCAGCGGGTGTTCCTCGTCGGAGACGTCTCGCAGGGCGGCCTGAAGAGACTGTCCGTAGACGGCTCCTTCACTGAGAGCCTGTAGCTCTGCTTCAGCAGAAGAGATCGCGATCAGCGGGAGCTTGGAAGCTTTCCACATCACCGTTCCACCTAAGAATTTGATGACAACTCCTCCTTGGCTGTGCCCCCCATTTGGAGCGAAAGAAGCATCAGTGTAGATCTCCACTGCGTCATTGGAGGACGCCCGAAGTTCCAGGATCGTGTCTCGCGTCCCTTGAAGGTAGCGGCAGACTCTCTCAGCGATCCTTATGGTGTGCATCGGTCGGCGTGTGGTTTGCGTCGACATATACTGCACGATGAATCCCAAGTCAGGCCTGCTTTTCTGAGCCAGCCAGAGGAGTTCGCCCGTCGCCTTTTGCGCCTGTTTCAGCCGGTGCTGAAAGCCCCCCTTCTCGGGGTCTTCGGGCTCGCCTTCCTCCAGCATCTCCTTGGGGCAAACGACGCTGCTGCTCCGACCGGAAAACTCGTTCCTGGACAGCATCTCGTCGAGGTAGGCCCTTTGGTCCAGAGCGAAACCATCACCCTCCTTCAAAGGACTTATTCCTACCCCTAGGAACTTGAGAGGAGCCTCCGCAGTGGCCTCCTGTAGATCGTCAAGTTCCCACTTGAGTTGGGAGCTGAGGGCTGCGTGAAGTGAGGCTGCTATCCCTCCACTTGACAGCATGAGGAAATCGTCAACATAACATACAAGCAGTCCCCTCAACTCATTCCCGGGGCCTCGGATCTTAAAGATGTTGCCCTCAGTGGCACCTTGCTCAAGCCAGTGCTCTTCCAGCTCTCCGGTCTCGGGGTTGGGAGCCTGGAACCTAAGCTTCCGAAGACACTCATCTCTGTACTCCGTCCACCAACGTGGTGATTCACGAAGGCCGTAGATGGCCTTTCCCACCTCCCAAACTTCCGTTTCTTGCACCAGGCCTAGGGACCGAAGGATGGCCGGGGGCCGTAGGAGGTACCGTCGAGAAGTGCCCAGCGGAGCCAGAAGGAAGGCTGTGTGCACGTCAGTGCCGTAGGCCTTCCATTTCTCCCTTCCTGCAAGGAGGAGAGACGCTCGCAGGATATCGCCTGCCACGCCTGCTGCGTAAAGATCGGCCGTGTCAGTGTAGGCCGACTCATTCCCGCAGGCAACCAGTCGTGCCTTCCGTCGGAAGGGCTGGCGGGGCCTTCCATCACTGTGGTGTTTGCCTGGCTTGACGGTGTAGACCCCTTTTGCATGGAGAAGAGTGCTCCGTGGATCCCTCTGCAACTCAGAAGCCTCCTTGCCTGTCACCTTCCGAATCGCGCCCTTTGAGAGAAGGGACTCAATCTCATCCGACAAGGCAGTCCTCCACTCCTCGGCATGCAACCTAGCCTCGGCAGGCGAAACCGTGTACGTGGTTTCCAAGGGGTTATCCCCCAAGGCCTTGAGCTTGGCCTCGACATCTGGAGTGAACACCTCTACCTTGTGCAACTCGGGAGGAGGCCTATTGACGCTTGTCCTGCCGGGTGTGTGCTCACACGGCTTAGGGAGGAGAAGCGATGAGGGG